TCTTCACCCCCCACCCTGCAATCTGATACTGTTACCACAGAGAGCATCATTAAATACTAAAGGACAGAAATAAAGACTGGTGGGAACAAAAAAAAAAAAGAGGGTGGGGGTGGGATTGAAGCCCCTCAAGCTGTAAAACCTTGCTTATTAAAAGAAGTCTGTTTTTGCTTTTTGTGCATTAAAATTCAACCAAAAATACTAAATAAAATTAAATAAAACGTGAACCAGATTCAGTAATTAAAGTAACTAAAGTATATTATTTCAATAAAAAAAATGACTTCAGTTCCATGCATTAAACTTGGTTGTCTAAATTATTATTTCTTTTAAATTACAAGGTTTTACTAAAGACTTGTAAAAGCAGGCTTTATTTTAATAAAGCAATATATAATTTTCTAGTTTTCCTTTTGATTTTTGAAGGATCCTGGACATTTTCTTGACAATTTGTTTTTGTGAAAATCACCCCCCTAAAATGCACTCACCACCATGAAGTGACTCTATAAAGCTCATTCACTAAACTCTTCCCTCTTAGTAATGAGGTAGAAGTCCAACCGTCAGCCTTTTCACAGCACTGAATCTCCTATGGTCTCGTATACACGTGGACAAGCCTATATTTGAAAAGCAGTATACAAGCCCTCAGACCATTACCCTCTAGAAATACATATATAATGACATGGGTGTGATGAAAACATCACAGACCGGCCTGTCAACACACAACCTTCCCAAACATCACCATACTTTTACCGACTTGTGCTTGTTGTTACTGATCTACCGCAAATAAAACCGCTTGAACGTGTTTGTTGTCAGTAACCCTCAATAAAACCATGTTGGATGTTTTGCATAAAAACACAGTCATAACATCAAAGAAACACGGATGTTGTCAGTAACCCTCAATAAAACCATGTTGGATGTTTTGCATAAAAACAGTCATAACATCAAAGAAACACGGCATAAAATGGATGCACTGCTAAATGGCGCTTTGGGGGTTTCGGTATATATATCTATGTTGTATTATTCAACGTAAGTAGGGTAAATGGGCTTTGATTGAAAGCATGCAAATATCAAGGGCTGAAGGAAGCCATAAGAGTGTGCGTATGAAATTAGAGCAATCCATTTTTCCCTGATTGATCGATCACTCAAGCACAGCTGAGCAAACAAAGCGCTTAGGCCACTAAAATGGATGACAGCACTACAGGGAAATGTCTCTCTACATTAAACCTACAGAGACGGTCTTCTGAAAGACGGCTTCATCCTTATCATGATTGATGCAAGCCTTTTAAAAGGACGAAATTACGTTTATGAAAATAACTTCACCCAAACATGAGAATGAAGAAGTTGTCTTATGTAGTTCCAATCCTGAATCCTGGCTTTCTTTCCTCTGTGGAACATTAAAATGATCTTTTGACAAATGTCCAATGTCCAACTTTGGACCCCATTGACTTTCATTGTATGGACACAAAAATTTAAGACATCTCTCAAAATGTCTTTTTGTGTGTTCATACAGGTTTGGAACAACCTGAGGGTGAGTAAATGATGGCAGAATTTTAATATTGGATTAATAATCCTTTTAAACATGCTTATTTAAGAGTCCCACGCACAGTTGTCCAGGTTCGACTATTTCAACTGTGGGAAATCTCCACGTGCGAACTGTCAGGGCAGCTCTCCAACAGCACGCGCCTGTAACATTCTGCCTCTTGTATTGCAACTTGACAGCGTGCCTCTCTGGTCACAGGCCAAGACAGCATTACAGCACACTGCCAAGAGCTTGTTCTCAAGAAACACCAGCAGTAGGGGGAATGACAGAGGAAAGTGAGATGGCAGGAAGAAAGAGAGAATGAAAGCGCACTCCTGTTGGGCCGCCTGCCAGAACGCCACACGTCAGGGATATCCAAGGACAAAAGCCTTATGTCAGGACAGCATTCCCTAAAGACTAGGGATGAATAAACGGAGAAATTAACTGACAGAGTTATAGGACCATGTCTGAGGGTACAGCTTGGCTCACAGCAGGAGACTATTGACAATAAGGGAAGAGGAGGACAATAGCTTTAAAAAGAAGTAGAACGCAACGAGAAGGGAAAAAAAACAGAGGCCCAAAGTGTTTTTGTACATGTTTGGATTAACGCAAATTCCTCTTGTGCTCAAAAAAAAAAAATTGGATTAGACGTCTTAGCATTTTATAGATTTATTTTTTTTATTAGAAATCGGCATAAATTAAAGGGCAGCATAACATACTATCATTATTTATAATTATATAACATTATTATTTTTTTTTACATTATGGAAACGAAAATATGAAAACACACCTCAAAAAATATGAATAAACAAATTATACTTTTAGTAATTATTTTCGGGACAATTAAGCACATTTTACACCAAATTCTCATTGCCATAAGGCTTTTGACATTTTACTTCTATTTCCATTGTTTTAATTATGATTCTCATTACCGCAATTTAATTTTTTAAAAATCTATATTTAAATCAGCATAATTAAAGGCAGTATAACAAATACTATCATCATTTATGAGCATTTTAATTTAATAATATAATATCGTTTTTATGTTAAGGTAATGATAATACGAAAATAAGAATTCTTTTTGCATTATGGTAATGAGAATTTATGGGGAATTGTGCTTAATTTAAGTAAATAATGTCAAAACACAGAAATCTTTAAAGGGGTCATATGATGCGATTTCAAGTTTTCCTTTCTCTTTGGAGTGTTACAAGCTGATTGTGCATAGATAAGATCCCTGAAGTTGCAAAGACTAAAGTCTCAAAACCAAAGAGATATTCTTTATCAAAGTTAAGACTCTGCCACACCCCCCTAAAACGGCTCGTTCTAACACGCCCCCACATATCTAGGTCACTATGTGGGAATATTTGCATAATGCGCCCAAATGTGCACGCAAAGGCGGCGTGGTTTCAGTAACCGTAGTTAGTGTTGAAGCAGCCATGTCAGAGAGACGCTGTGTGTTTCTAGGCGAAAGCAAAAGCACTTTATTTGGCCTTCCGAAAGTAGATGCATTTAGGAATCTTTAAGATCACTTACAACAGAACAGCAATGCATTTTATGGACGACCGTTTCGTGAACCTAGGAGAGATCTGGCGCTTCTGAATCAGCTACTGTTTTGTTATTAGTTTAAATATTTGCTATTGACTGTTCAAATGCGGAGTGTTGCGCATCGTGTGTGTGTGTGTGTGTG